TTCAGAGAATTTGGTATTGGATCAACTAATCATCCCATGATTGACATTCTTCTCTATTCTCATCACTTGCCTGCTTGATATTGTATTGATATTGTAAGGAGAAATTCTTTCTTGGTCACTTGTGGGAGTGAAAGGGTTAAGAACAACCTGAGAGGGTCATCTTTAATTTTGATTGAATGTAAGACATGATTAAAAAACTGTCATTGTTTTTCATTCGGTGAGTGAACAAGTGTATAGTAATCATCATCAGACATGCACTTTATTAAGCAAGTTCATCTTCATCATTTAAGTTCCAGGGAAATAAATACCATTAGCATCAAGCAAGTCATACTGCTTATGTTACTTGTTTTTGCCAGGATCAAAGCAACCAAATAATTCACTAGACTTATTTTTAATAGTGCAGTCCTGGTTATTGATATGTTCTGTGTTTGGAGCAACATTGTCAAAGTGTCATTCACATCATTCATTGCTTTATCTACTATTTCTGAGTGGTATTCATACTGGCACCTGTTAGTGAGAATCTCATCCTTAATCTGTTCAAATTGTTCTTGGTAAGTTTGACAATTGTTTATTATGTCAGTGCTTTCATTCCCTTGTGAAATTTTGGAATTCCTAGGAATTTTTTCCTAGGAGTAAAGGTGTGAATTTTCACAGTAAATTCGGACTGGGAATTCCCAACCATAACAACTCTGGTTCTAAAAACCTAGAAATTCCTAGAAATTCTCAGAAATTCCAAGTTTATAGCCAACAGCACTTGGAATTCCTTGGAATTCCTACGAATTCCAACTCAGAGAACCAATGACTTTCCCCGAAAAGCTGTAAATCTAAAAAATTCCTAGGAATTTCTGGGAATTTTCAGGAATTTTTAAGAATTACTGGGAATTTTAAGCAAAAATTTGAGGCAAATGATATAAAATAAATACTTTAAATTAAAAAAACCCAGCTAAAATTCAAGTATTCAATGAAATTTATTTACAAGCTTAATTAAGGTTTACATGTAAAATATTTTTCATTAATTATTAACATCAACATGTGGTAATATTAGGATGGAATTTTATTTATTTCTCTTTTCTTGAAAACTGCATATGGATTAATGCTCAATTACAGCTATTCATATAAAATAGTCCTAATCAATCATTAAATCTGGATTGACACAAATTGTGAATAAAATCTGTTGATTCTTTTCCATAAAACACAATATCTTAAATTGTATTTGAAAACCAAGAACTCTTGGGAGTGAAGGGGTTAATTACAGATAAATAAATTTGATTTATTCATTAAAATCTTGTTGTAACTGTAACAATAAATTAGAATGAATGGTTAAGAATATATGAAGGTCATATATTTGAACTGCGGATAAAGACGTGAATGAAAGTGATCCTCGCAGTAATGTGCACTACTCAGGCAGTAGTGAAAATAAGACCTGAAAAAAATTTCAGGCCTGTACAGTATTTGAACCCATGACCTCTGCGATTTAGAATGAAGAAAATTAGAATGAAGTTATCCTAAACTGCAAACTTAGCTGCTGTTTGTATTTTTCCCCTGGGTTCACAATGAGTTGGCCTCGAATGACGTTGTCTACAAGAAGCTTGACCATTTTGTATCTGGATTCCACGACATCTGAATTTGAAAAAAATAAAAATAAAAAATATATATATATATTTATATTTAAAGCTCAGACCAGGCCTTTAAGATGGCTATAAGGAAAAGGGCATTCATTGGATTCTCAAATTGAGAAATCTCTGTTATATTGAGTGACTTTTATATTGGAGTTAGTACATCTCTCTCATAGATTTTACTAAAAAAGGGCTGAATACATTATTTTGTTTTTACCAAGGAGGGCTTCTTTACGTAATAAGGTTTGTTTAATAACTGTTCCTATTATGAATCTTGAATGTTCCCAAACGTGACTAAAGGAATCTTGAAACCTTACAGATGGATTTATTTCATTGTAAAGTATAAGCTTAAGATTCTCAGAATATACAGTTGCGCCGAGCGCTATGTAAACTTAATTCAACCCGTTACATCTATTCTTTTATAAGATTTTGATCACGTAACGAATATCGCAATTTTTACTCACCAAAAACTTTCAAAATCGTAGCTTTACAGATAGCCACTCGACCCTTGTTTGTACCAGTCAACATGTCAACTGTTGTCCCTTCTTTTAACTCCACGGCGTCAACGACTTTCTTTTCTTTTAAAACACTCACGCTGTTCTCGTTTTCCCATTGAACCACAATAAAAGCTATCTTTATAAATGTTATATTAAGCAAAATAGTCGAGAAAAGCGATCAACCGATGAAAAGTACATTCAAAGATGAGCGCCAAATAGAGTCTTCTTTGATTTCGATCACGGGCATGATCACGTGGATCTTTTAGGACTTGTCATTGGCTAGCAAAGTGAATCCGCTGGCTTGCCGATTGTAGTGTTAGGAGAAGCGCTCAACTTTATTCTGACTTCTCCGACCGGTTCTCTATTTCTAGACGATGGATACCTTGGTGATATAAATAATGATGTGAGCTCACCCTATGTAGAAATAATCGACAAGAATCGATCGTATTACAAATGCACGATTTGTGGCCGAAAGTTGTCGAGGAAACAAAGACTCGAAACTCACTTGAGTTGTGTTCATGGCAAAGGTGAAATACAAGCTAATCACAGTTTTGAATGCGACTACAAATCGTCTTTTACCCTCATATTTATAAAAGAAGGATACCACATTAGGAAGTATAAGAGATACATAGATGATCCCAGTGTACCAGTAGCTAAATCTACAAAGCTTGACCGTAGCAAGCGTTCAGCAACATGTTCCAACACCGCCATCTCGATTCCTCAGTCAGTCGTTTCCACTGAACTTAAAGCAGTAGTGACAACAGAGTAGAGTGCGTCTTACAAAGGAGAAACATTTGTACAAGAGACAGAAGTAACTATATGCGATTACAGAGGTGCGTTGGAACTCTGGTCCACAAATAGTTATGCACTGTCCGTAGTATAAAACAATTTCGTTGATAGCTCACACAGAGAGAAGAACAACAAGTAAACTTTAGAGCTGTTATTATTGAATTGTGGCTTGCACTTTTCATTTTTATATAAAGAAGGACTTGTATTTTGCACCAAAAATATAAAGATGTAATATTTTTTGGGAGATCCAGTGATTGGGACATTTAAGAAATTAAGTTATGAAAGGAAACTTGGTTGGTACTTCTCACTACTAACAAGTCTTGTTGACAAATATTTTCAGATCAGAGTTTCAAATAAAGTAAATTGAAGATGTCATTTAAAAGGTGTTTTTTCTCAAAGGGCACATTGACTACCTCTGTCTTGTCTGCATGCCAAATGTTTGCAAAGTGTGTGAATGATCCACAAGTATTGGAACTCTTACAAAAATGTTTTGTAAGAATAAAAACAGCAAAACAAATTACAGCAATTATTCACAAAAACAGAGCAAAAAACTGAAAAAAAAACAGCAACAACAATCATGAAAAAAGAAAGATTAATTAGGTGTTGAATTTGTTTGTCTAAGGCATGAAATTTCTACTAAAAATGTTGTCAACAAAGTCTCTGACAGTGTTTGAGGCAACTGAGCTTGACTGTTCCAAGGTTTTCTAACAAAGGCAACCAGTAATGTAGGTTAGGGAAGTAACTTATGTTTATAACTAACAAAGTTCTTTAAGTGTAGATAACAATGTAATTATTGTTAATTATTGTGGAAGTTGTGTACCAAGGAACAGCCAATGAATGTTTGATGATTTTGGCACATCAGTGAACATGAGTCATTAATTTGCATCACAATAAAAATATTTTTTGATCATGGAATCCAAGAGTCCTTTAAGGTTAGAAAGCAAATCTGTGATAAGAGTACATTGGATTAATTGGCAATTTCCATTTAACATAACTGACAGCTGGTTCATGAGAAAATCCATATTAATGTAAAGATTTACTAAAACTTAGTTTGAATAATAAATTTCATGATCCTTAAGTTATAAACATATACATGTATGTATATCTCTTGGTAAGTTTTGTATAGCATACCTTTTATTGAGCCAAAGTTTTAAGCCTCTGAAATTACTCCTTATCTCAAAACCTTCACATTCAAGGTGTTAAGAATTTCTTAGAATTTATGTGGATCTCAGGGTACTAAAATTGCCTCAAATTCAATTCCCAGAAATTCCCAAGAGTTCCACACTTATTAAATTATAGGTAGTTTGTAAAGCTGATAATTCCTAGGAATTCCTAGGGATTCCAAGTCCTCACAAAACTGGAGTCTTCCTTTCCCAGAAATTCCCAGTAATTCCAAGCTTTTTAAATCAGAGTTAATTTGTATAGTTGGGAATTTTTGAGAATTCCTAGGAATTCCCAGGAATTCCCAGAAAACTGGGAATTTAGTTTGCAAGGGTCATTTGCATAACTGGGAATTTTTGAGAATTCAGTTCTCAATGGTTTGTTGAATTATAAACATGCTGTTAAGGAATCCATTGAGCTTTCCCTTTAAATCAATTACTCTACTTTGTACTGTTGTATCTCTACTGATGTAAGTATTATATTTTAAATCATCTTCTTTACAGAAATGTCAGTTTGATAACAAGGTAAGAGTGTTTAATGTATTACCATCTATGCATTGTATGTTTTCATTGTTAAATTGATGGTCATCTAACCATGTACATTCTGTAATATCAGTCACTCAACAGTGTTTTCTTGATTTTGTTTACTAACAGGATGACAAACTGAAAGTCATCAGGAAAATAACTTTTCAAGTGAGAAAACCTTTTTTTTTAATTCTTATAAATACTTTCGATTTAAGTTGTTTCAAATACAATTGCATCAGTTTCCTTTGGTCAGCTATAAGAACTTACAAAGACCATTTAGTTAGACCATATAGTTTAGTTAAGACCATAAAGTTAGCTTTAATGAAGATGAAACTTGTTATGCGTCAAATTTATTGAAATCAAAATAATAGTTTTTTTTTATATAATAAATTGATGTGGTTATTTGCTTGTAGCTCTTACAAGCTCTTGGATTCCTAAGGAGGTAAGATTATCAATAGGTGTTCTTCTTAGACTCTCTAGAATTACTCATCTGTACCCACAAGTGGCTTCATTTTATTTCATTGTTAAGGGAATCTTCTCTTATGCCACCATGTTGTTGCAGGTTGGAAGTGGGATGTTTATTCTGCATTTTGGCAAATAAAAGGGGATCTTTTTCAAAGGGGAGTGATCATTTGAGAGGAGGGACTGATTTCAGGATTTTATGTGCTTTGATCTCATTCAACTTTCCATATGAATCCACAGACAGAATGTCATCCATGCTGACTTGAAACCAGAGAACATTCTTTTTGAAGAAGGTGAAGTGGGGTGTTTGCAACAAATTGTCAAAAACAACCTTTTTTACATTGCTGACAGCCAACCTCCATTGAGAGATCTGGTTGTTAATACACTGTAATAAAACAACTTTTTGTACACTTAACAGTTTTAGTCACAGACCTGAAGGTGAACAGTGGTGGATATTTACCTCACTGCTTCGCAGCTTGGTGAATATCCACCACTTTCACTGACACTGACAGAAGTGAATAAATTTGTTAGTATATACCACATAGATACCAAAAAATTAGTCTCTTTCTTTCAATATACCAAAAACTGGTCAGATATCAAACTCTTACAATGTGATTTTGTCTCACAGGCTGCATGGAGGTGAATAGTACTTAGTATTCACTGAATGGAACCAGCCAATCAGCACATGCAAAAAGCACTATTTACTTGTTTGGTGTGTACTAAAATTGTTTATTATATTAACACACTGTAGGTGACGAAACCAAGATAAAAGTTGTTGACTTTGGAAATGCAATTCACTGGGTTCATAGAGAGGTACATGTAATTTCTATTATTTGGTGATTTTAGTGACTTAATTTTAAATGTGAGCAGCTAGATGCATCAGAATTGTTGTACTGCAGACTTTATGAACCCTTTACACCCCAACATCAATATGCATATTCTCTATACTGCCATCTATGCCATTTTGATCACCATGACAAGTGAAAATATATTTGGTGACTTTTGCCAACATTTTAGTCGTTTTAACATTTTAGTTAATTGGTGACTAACAGATAAGAAAAAAGAGGCAGCCAAAAATGTTTAAATGGCGACCATTTTAAATTTGAAGGTTGCCAAAAGGCAACTCTTTGGAAAAATGAGCTTGGAGCTCTGTCAGCCATCATTAGTAATGACATATGATAATTATTCAAAATATTTAATTTAATTCTTATTTTCTTCTGTTTAATTCTGTCAGGTTTCCTTGTATTATGATGAGTTTGAACTACAAACTTTACTTTACAGAGCTCCTGAGGTAAAGTAAAGATATTGCTGTTTTCATGAATTTGGAGACAAAATTAATTTTACATGTAGGTTACATGCATGCAACTCCAGTGTTTTCCTAATCAATCCAAGGGAAATAAAGCAAGATTAAACTAGTTTATTTGGACTTGCATGAACTGAAGTACTCTATGAAAGATGATCAGTGAAGTTCTGCAGTTTTGTGTTTCATAAAACAACTTAATGTGGTTGGCCTGTTGCAGATGGAAAATTCTGTTCTGTGGTGACTATCATCTCAAGCAATGTATCAGAAAACATATTTCAATTCACACAATAATTTTACCATGACTGTATGTCAGGTGCAAATAGATGGGAGATGTACATATTAGGGCTGTTTTTAAGTGTTTGTTGGACACTTGAATTTTAAAGTTCCATCTGTGGAAGAAGGTCCCACTAAATGTTGTTTAATGCAATGAGGTACAGTGTCCTCCACTTAATAATGTTGATGGCAGTCAGTTGAAACTGAAAGCACTGTGTCAATTATTTCCAGGTGATGTTTGGTGTTCCCTTTGGCCCTGAGATTGACATTTGGTCTTTGGGATGCATTGTAGCTGAGGTTGGTTAATTGACTTGTATGTTCTCACCATAATTAAAATATTGTTAATGATTATTAGACCATCAGTCAGAGCTAATAACAGATGATGCTTGACAGTTTTATGATGGATATTTCTCCGTAAGGGGGGAGGAGAACTCACCCAGCCATTAATGTTACTGGTGAGGAAATGAAATAATGTCCTTTTAATATGAACATTGGTTTCAGTTGTATATAGGCAAACCTTTATTTCTGGGAGGAAATAGGACCAAAGTGTTGCAAGAGGTATGTTTTTTTGTTTTGGTTTTTTTTATTATTGGCACTTTTACAAGCTGTTTATGACCTAAGGTAACTACTTTTCATGCTTGGTTGCAGGTAACCAGTATTCTTGGTCCCATACCTTGGAGTCCATTCCATACTGGAAAATTTTTTGAAGATTTGTCACAGTTTATAGGTCACCACAACTCAGGTAAATTCAAGTTTAAGATGATTCAAATGTAATCAAGTTATCTCAAACTTTTTTGGTAATCCTTACTTAGTCCTCAACATCATTTAAATAGTCTCTGCAACTATTTCATAAATCCAGGTACACAACTTAAATAAACAATTGATTTAACCCTTTAACTCCTAAGAGTGACTAACATCCAATTTCTCCACACAACATCAGCCCTGAATCAAACATCAAGGTCATGAGAATAAAGGAAATGATCACCAACTAAAGAAGCTCTTGATTGTTGAACAAATTCTCCTTGTCAGAGCTTTAGGAAATGTCTAGAGAGTAGTATGGAGAATATGCATACTGATGTAAGGGAGGAAAGGGTTAAGATACATTAGCAAAATAGCAAAAGACGACTTATCCTTTATGCGAGGGAGGAACCATTGGAAAGAGAGCGATGCTTAGAGGTGGTTCAAATGAAAATTAAAAATAATTCATACATGGGAAGATTTCTGAAAAAAACATCATGCACAATGAGATGTCCAGAAAAAAAAGTATCCTTTCATTCACCTTTCCAACTATTATTTCTGCTCCCAAAAAATGAATCAACAAAAACGTCCATAAATACAATAAATTTTCATGGGAAAAAATCCCACATAGAAAATACTGTAGGAATCAACACATGTAGGCTCTTTACTCACTTAAGACTTTTTTTTTTCATTGCTTATTGCGGACAATCACCTGAAATGTGTGAGTAATGTGATGCTAAAACTCCATAATTCAAGAAATTTCTCTTTTGCACGTTTCTTAGTTGGCTTGCTGAAGTATAAACCAGGTAAGTATACGGAATTATCATAGTTTGTGTAACTTTTACTTGAAACACTTTGTTTGTTACAGTCGTTATCCTGCAAAACAATGCCAAACGCACTGACACGTGAAAAACAAAAAACCAACCTTTGTTCTTTGCTTTGTATCACGATCTCAGGTGAAAGACTTACACCTTATCAAGCTGCTGCGCATCCATTTTTGGCGCCAGAGTGTTCCTTTGCAAATTTATTGCCTCAACAAGGAGATAAGAAAACAGGTTTGTTCTTGCCTTCCATTGAACTGCATAAATGCAAATTAGCCCTATGCCGTCGCCATGAAACGAACTTCTGACAAAGAAATTTACCTTTCACATAGGAATCACCTTTTTTACAGTTTCTCAGACTTCGTCATTTATGTAGTGACGACTCTGATTTTTCTGAAAAATCAGAGGCAACGTGCTAGTTTTTCGATAAACGTGGCTATCCTGTTTCTGTAGTTCAAGCGGGCCACCGCCGTGCCCAACAAATTGATCGACATTCAGCACTACAAACGGTTCAGAAGGAAAATGCCGATCGCATTCCATTCACTCTCACATTTCACCCTCACAACCACGCAGTTGAATCTATCATTCTTAAAAACTTTCAATTACTTCAAAACGATTCAGAGACTGGTACGATCTTTTCGCAACCTCCACTAATTTCATTCAAACGTGACAGAAACATAGGCAACTTTTTGATCAGAAGTTCATTTCAAACCAGTGACTAACCTGGAATGCGCTCGCTCACGATGCAAAACTTGAATGAAGCAAGACTTGTTTTCATCCGACATCTCCCTGGAAGGTGTAGGGCAGTTAATTTCAAGTTTGATTAAGGTATTGGTAAACCTTTATCAATCAAAATATAATAAAATACCTCTGTTACGTTATTTCCAGATGCTGGAAGCTGCGCAGATATTTCGTTTCCTACTGAGTATAACTTCAAACCATACGTTGACGAGGAAGTTAAAAGGCAGCATTTTTCTGGAACTGAACTCTTAAAGAAGGGAACTACTGTAACTGCTTCTTCACCAAAACACTTTCAGAGCAAACAGGAGAATGCAACATCTCTGAGGACTGGAAATTTACATTCTCAAAGAGAAAAGGTGACAATTAATGAGAAATCTCGTCGGGAAGACCAGTTGCTTCTAGAAAATTTCAGTTATGCCATGGAAGGTCCTCTTGTCACAGGATACCCTAAATCAACTCACCAACAGAACGAGACGTGTGCCGTTTTTAAAGGAAATGCATGCACTGATGATATTGAAGAAGAACGTAAACAAGTCTCGGACAGGCTCATGTCTACTCTCCTGACTCCGACAAATCTTTCTTTGGGAAAAATTTCAGAAAAAAAAGAAAAGTGTAATGAGAAGGATTATTTGCCGGCAGGAACTAATATTACTTGTCCTAATAATGAGTTCGAAAGACCTTCGACGAGGTTCGTGTACAACAAAAGCTCCTGTTTTAAGCGCAAAAGTGATGTCTTTAAAGACACTCATGTAGAAGACGGAAGCCTCCAAAAGTCTCACGAACTTTCTTTATTTGGGGTTAAGAACTTTGGAAGCACAAACCTACTTGAGCATCACAACAGATTTAATATTGCTGGAAAACTAGGATTTGATGTGGGCAACTCTTCCTCAGGTGGAGAAACATATGCTGCCGCAAGAACTCGTGTCTATCATAGGAAAACAAAATGTACCAAAGTAGAGACTGGCTATACTAAACATGACGGTGTCGCTGCAGTCCAAATGGAGGTACTTGTAAATGAATCTCCTTGTTGGGCGGCAAAAGCAATTGTAACAGATGTGAATCTTCAAGCGAAGTTTAGAGTGGGAAAGGTTCATGACGCATATTCGCATTTTGTGGGTGCTTTTTTCTAAATGCACGTGCGTTTATTTGGAAGCGATTTCCGGTTAATGTCCATACTCCTTAATTTAGTAGTTGATCGACTTTTTCATGTTCAATCAATGACATGTAGCTAGGTTGTGGAGACTAGTCAATCAGTTAGGCAGGCAGGAAGGCAGTTGATCTACATTTTCATGTATCAACCAATCACATGTAGCTTGTTTGTGGAGACCAGTTAGTCAGTAGTTCAGTCAGTCAGGCAAACAGGCAGGCACGCAGCTGGCCAGGCAGTAAATTTTTGGGCTTGACAGTCTGGCAAGCAGTCAACTGGTTAGCCAGTTGTTCAGTGCTTCACTCACGCAGGTATGTGTGAGTTTGATGGTCAGACAGACAATGTGTCAGCTATTTACTCAGTCAGTCAATCAATTAGTTTTTCATTTAATCAGCCTGAAAGGCAGGCATCCAGCAAACAAATCAATCAGTCAGTAAATCATCCAGCTACATCCAGGCACGCCTCCATCAGCGAAAAGAAAAATCACCAAGATGCTGGAATATTGATCAATAAGAACTTAACAATCAGTTAGTCAGCGAGTGAGTCGGTCGGTCTCCTGGTCATTCAGTCAGTCAATGACTCAATCAGGCTGGCAGTCGGTCAGGTGGTCTTTCATTCATTTTGTTTGTCAATCAGCTTGTCAGCAAGTTGTCTTAATCTCTTGGTTTTACCAAACAGGAATCAGAAGAACAAGCAAAGCAGGACTCTGGAAAAGCCGCATTCTCTGGAGCATATCAGAATGATGTGAGTATTAACTTTTTTTTAATGGGAATAAAAATTTAGCCGATTTTCTTCTCTCTGTTGGCTCGAAATGTCAGCTTTGAAACTCTTTACGATAGTCAATTTACGTTACCCACTCAGTTGATAATACTAAATTACTTGGTGGCTATAGTTTACTTGTAGCTGGGAGTAAAGAAGTTATATTTTCAACACTTTTGGCCTATTTCATTCCTTTTGCCCTAAGAAGCAAGGCAACTAATCTTTCCTACCCTCATTAAAGTTTGGCTCCTTCTAATCCCTCAGATCATCTCAGTTTCCCGAGTGACTATGACATAACTACAATCAAGACATTGAGAACATCGTCATTATAGAAAACCAACATCTTCTGCAACTCTTAGGCGATTGAAAATATTGAGACGTTGCTTCTTTCGATCGCCATATAACTGAGTTTTGAAATAACTTTTTTTAATGCGTTTTCTCTTTTCTTGTTTGTTTTTTAATCGTTTTATTTTTTATTTTATCACAGGAGGTGATGTTACTTGGCGAGGATGGACAAAGCAGTTTCTGATATTTTTAGCTTTATATTTTGATACCTGTGAGAGTATAAAAATGTAGTAAAAGATTTTTTAAGTAGATTTAAAGTGACTTTGTGGATTTTGTGGTGGAGTTCTTCATTACGTCATCTGCTATTGAGCTCTTAATTCAGATGTATGTGAAATATTCGTCTAACTATGCGTAGATCATTCGTCACGGCATGAATTACTTTCAGAACCTTACGGCGGCGTGTTAAAGGATCCGCTTTCCATTGAGGAAAGGGACAAAGTTAAAGGAATTGGGATGAAGACCAGCAAATATGTTTTTTTATGGTCAGAAGACAGTGGTCGTTCATTCCTTTCTTATGCTCCATCGCAAGAAATACATTTCTGTTCTGTATAACAGTTGCTGCAACTTTTTCCATTCTCTTCCAAACTGAGAACACCAGTCAGAAAATCAGACGGCAGGGTTTCTGGTATGAAATAATCTTATTCCGAAATAAAACTACGAAACACATCAAAAACGACTAACATAATGCTAATTGCGTCGAAGTACTGATCTACTTGTAACCGACTTGACATTCGTACATACATTCGTTGTAATACATTACGAAGGTTTACTAAGAACAGATTTCAGGAAAGATCATTAACTCTTGGTTTTGGTATTCAGCGATGAAACAAATATTTCACAATTTTCTGTTTTTTCTTCAGGTTCAATGTTCTATAGCCTATGTCCTCCTAACTTGGCTGGACATTTCTCATTTTTATCCTTTAAATAACACTCTACAGTGGGCCGTAACTTTTCCTACCTTCTCACACATTTCTCCACTTTGTAACAAGTAATCACGCTCTCACTCAATTAGAGCGTGAATTGCCTCAGAGATGCACTCGACTCTCACAAAAATTAGGCGCAGAAATTTTTTCAAGGACTTGATACACAATGTCATGAACACTTAAATGGGCTTCATCTGGCAAATGTGTATGTGTACCTAAAGGCTGTTCGTGATCGTGGGGGGTGCAGCATGACCCTTAGTTGGGGGTTTCTGGGACAAAATGCTTCATTCACCGATGAACATACTTGATTACCATTGTCGGGCTTTCGTTAAGGGGAGGGGGGGAGCGTTGTGCTCCATTGTGTATGTGGTGAGAGAATTGGATGGAGAAGGATCTTGTGGCCTTAACGCATACGCTTTAGTATAGCTTACATGGATAGTCTTTGAAGCAGGTTCTGAACTTAAATTGGTAGCTGATGGGGTTGAAACTGTCACCACTTCTGTTGTTTTTGTTGATACTGATGCAGGCGTGGGCAAGGTGACGTTTGCACCCGTAGTATAACCAGTAAAACACACAACGTTAAAGCCAAAGCCTGAGTAAAAAACTGATAAAAGGAGAGAGGTCTTGTGGCTCCGTTCAAAGAGACCACCTCTGCGCGTTTTCGGAATTTAAATATTTCGTATGAGACCCTAGGCTGATACTATTCAGTGAAATTTCAAACAAACAAACACTTCCACAAGACAGTGCATAGCTGAACTCTCAACAATATAGACAACAAAGCTTTCACACTCATGACAAATTAGTCAATAAAGACCCACTAGGAGCCTGTAATACCTTGTCTTTGTTAGCTACTGTTACTGTCCTCACGCTAGACTAAGCAAACTTTGCGAAGCGCTTCTGATGCTGATATGTGGTCTCTTACTGGCAGCGGTGTCTCGACGGAGGCGCATACAAGAGAATAACAGAGTCACCCCTCCCTCCTGGTACAAAAAAGATATCTAAAAGGTATACATCAAAACGTCGACAGCAGACGACTGCGAGCAGCTAATGATTGACCACGAAAATTAGTACTGTCTGTCACGCTAATGGTTAGAAGTTTGTAGGAAAGTTTCTAACCTGTTTTCCTTCAACTTAAACCCTTGAGGAACTGATAGAATGGTATTCCTGGCGCATCTCTTCCTTAACCCTTTACCTCCCGGATCAAATTTGTAATTCTCCTTACTGTCAACCATTCAATTTTTGTCATGTCAGTTCAGAGAACTTAGTATTGGATCAACTAATTATTCCCAAATTGATATTTTTCTTTATTCTCATCACTTATCTAGTTGATATTGTACTGATATTGTAACGAGAAATTCTGTCTTGGTTACTCATGGGCGTTAAAGGGTTAACTAGCACGATCCGATGAGAGTCACAGCGCAAAGGAGATGTGAGGTTTGCATTATTTCCATTGTTGTTACCAATCTACAGAGGAGAGCAATATTATCCAAATGAAGCTAGTGAAGCATTTCTCTCTGTGTCAAAACAACCCTGGAAAATTACAGTTTTCCTATTCAACGAGCATTGAGTCAGCATGGTGATCAATTATCATAGAATTTAGCTTTTTGACCAAAAAGGAACATAAAATTCATACAGAGAGGCTAAATACATTAGCAATATATATTTTTTCCCATGAGGCACGCGCACGGCAATAAATCCTGCGCCAAATCATCATGTGAATCTATTTTCGTAAATAAGCCGACAATAATTGTCATTCTTTGGCCTTTTTTTTCCTCCAAATAAAATTCAGAGAGGCTTTGCTTGCGTCCATCCTACTTTGGGGCTCAGCTAGTGCTCTAGTTTACAAGCATATTCCGTTGAACCCCAACCATTAGAGAGAGTCTGTGGGAATTTGAAGAAAGAGAAAATTCAAAGTTGTTAACGTTTAAGGTCTACTTTTAAACTGATAAATTGCTTTGTACTGCACCATCCACCGGGCAGAGATTTATACACTGCGGGATCTTGTTATCCAACCCTCGAACAACTGTCGTCAGATCTTTCAAGTAGGTACAGTATAACATGGTAATTTAGTATCATCAACTGATTTGATAACGTAAATTTGCCACTGTAAAGAGCTTAAAAGCTGTCTTTTCGAGCGTTAGCCCTTCGTCAGAGCAATTGGAGGAGTTGTGGGTTGTGTGTGAGTTTATATGCAGAAAATGGAGCTACGCTATTGGTGGGAATATGGTGACGAGAAAACAATAATAAATTAGTTGAATGAAAAGCGCTCGTGGATACCGTGGGGACCCGTGGGCATCCCGACTCGGCACTCTTAATTCCCACGTTATCTGCTCAATTGGCCATCGTAAAGAGATCAAAAGCTGACATTTCGAGTGTTAACCCCTCGTCAGAGCGATTGGAGGAATTGTGGGTTGTGTGTGGGTTTATATGCATACATTCACAGTCAGTTATCAACTCAGTTTAATAATACTAAATTACCCTTTCAAGTATCCGTTGATTTTTCCATGATGTTCATCCTTTGTTTCTTATTCGTTCGAGTTAAGTTAAATGGTGACGGAATTGTGTCTTCCCATTCTGTGTGTAATCAAAGCTATAACGCATTTTAGGAGGTTGTTTGATCATCAGAATCCCGACTCGAGCACAAACAGCAATAGGACAGTTTGCACATCATCACAAATGTGTAAAAAGGGCAGTCTACGGTCCGTGTGTCATTCGTCCATTCAATTTTCGTTTAAAATCAAAAATTGAAAATTGATGTCAATTTTTGATACGAAAGTGCCAAATCGAAAATTTTTTACTTTTTTTCCTTTGGATAGAATATTGAAACATAACTTATTTTCTACTTTAATCCTGTCAACAATAAAGAGAAAAATGAAACTGAGCCCTCTCCCCATGGCCAGGTCCGTTTCCTTGCTTAAGACTTTTGAAGGAAGTGAGAGTTTAACTATCTCCGCGGTCTTTTACGATGTTTTGGAGCGTCTTCCTCAGTTCTTTCCATTACAGCGAGCTGCTAGACTTTGGACGTTAGCTAAGAAGTTAAAAAGATCTTAGACTTAGTATTGGAGCATATTGGAGCGGGTGATGTACCCATATCGACTTTTCAGACGCCATACTGTAAAACATGGTTGGAATGAAGGTGAGGGAGAGGGAGGGGGTAAATTTCTGATACCATCCTCCCCCTCCCCCCCCATGCCCGCCTGGGGTCTGCGAAGGAAGTAAAAAATTCGCACTCTTTTGGACTGTCCGTTCGCCGACATTATGGCAAGCAATAAAACCTTTGATTTGACTTGATTTGGACGGAAAAGTGTTTAAATTACGAATAGCAGCGGGGAATATGACAGTTTTGAGGCTTTCTTGAGCTTTTTAGGCAATACACATTGCATGTATTTACATTTAGAGTCTTGCAAAATTGCCCTATGACATGACTGCAACAGTGCAAGATTAAGTAATCTTAAACAAAATTTAGATCGTGTTTAACTGTGGTTACCCTGTAAACAATTGTATTGGGGGTGAAATCTTCAACACTGAAAACAGCAAACGAGGAAAGTTGTATTTCTCAGCTGGAAACGAATTCGTTGTACTTAAGGAAGGAGTTTGGAGACATGACGTACTGGCCGACTGACTCAGAACGATTTAATGTCTTGCATTTTGACGATGAATCTTCTCTTCTTGTCATGGGGGAAGATTTGACGAATTCGCCATCAAACATCCTAAAGATAGCTGAACAACATACGGGCCAATTAAGTCATTTGTTCACTTATGGTGGCTCTCTTACTGGCTCTCAAGCAAGTTCTTCCAGGCTACCACTTTTCGGTAATGCAAGACGAAAAGGTGGCGTTCTTGCGAAGATTATTCCTACGGAAATAACACACAAGAATGTGAAGGGACCTCCTACATTCTAAGAACTAGTGGCAGATATATTTTGGAAGAAACGGCTAATGTCATTTACGTTCAGTCCAAGGCGAGAGTTACATTTAACGATTCATCTCTAGAGTTGGTGATCACGCTTGAACAAAACATGTTGACCAAAATAAAGATTCTGATGCTGTTACGTACGCATTCAATGTCTAATTCCTTTCAGTACTGTTGATAAATCATATTGAGTGTTGAAGACATGTGCTGACTGCTCATCTCTTTTTGACAGCCGGGAAAAAATGAGCCTTAACAAAAGCCTAAAAAAATTCACGCTAAAAGCTGAAAAATTATTTTGAACCCTGAAGGGTGCTCATATAGACGGCTATACAAACAGGGAAGTAAAGGTAGAAAAAAGAATAAAATAGCGAACAACAAGCACTTAAGTCTAGTAAACTTATACTTACCCGAGCAACAACGTCCCGCGTGCACTGGACAGGCGGTTGTGTAAATTTATCCCATTCTCAAAACAAAACCTCCCAACTGACCTCGAATCAAAGCCTTCCTTGTCGGAAAATCTTTCTTTTAGCAATAAGCTCACCTCGGAGCGTGCTTTTCTTTGAGTTATTACAAGATCCTTTATGTACTCAGCACTGAAGTCGTTCAAGTCTGGAAAAGTGACTGCGCGGTAAATACGAGTTTCCCGCTTCCTCCTTTCCAGAGAAGTGTAGCGTGGGAGGGGAGGGAGGGGGGCAGAATTAGAAAAAATTCGCATGGAGGGAAGGGGATCTGGGAGAGGGCGCTAGGGGCAAAAAATTACCGTGGGAATGGACCCCTCCCCCTCCTTCTTAGGTAGTTCTGTCAACGATTTTGAATGTTTTGGTCGAAAAAAAAATTGAAAATTGATTGCAATTTTCAATTTTTAGATTTCCGCCGAAAACAGAGAAACTAAGCCATGCTACAGACTGCAGTATTGTCGGAAAAGCAACATTGCGGCTCAGTTTCACTTTTTCTTTATTGTTGACGGGATTGATGTAAAAATATAAGTTTTGTGTTTCAATATTTTGTCAAAGGGAAAAAGGAAAAAATTTTCGATTTGGCACTTTTGAGTTTAAACGAAAATTAAATGGACGAATGACATGCGGACCCGTCAGCCCTTTTTTTGTGAAAATTTATATATATATGTATATATAGATAATTTTTCCCTATTAATAGTTTTTGAAAAATACATCACTTCACTAATAAAAAAAAACATTCGAAAAGAACTGATTTAGTCAAGTGCACGCAGGTGAGGTTTTTCCTTGCGTCGATTATCCATGAATTATTTGAGGAAGGATCACAGCTCTAGGATGTTATGATGAAAAATAGACTTGATTCGCGGAACTGAGGAAGGTAATTTTCGGGAGAGTGTTGTTTGTTTTTGTTTTGTGTTCTTTCCTTTCTTTTGCCTTCCGGAATTGTTTAGTTTTATTTCGCTTCCATTTTTTACTTTTTTGAAATCGAGGTTGAGTTCGAAACCCACTATAAATAACCACCTAAGTGCATGAATTTATTGAAATTAAAACTTCTCATACAGTTAAATTTGCTCTCGACTATGAATGCTAAGGGAGTGTACCATACTACCTAGTAAGGTGTACCATGCTGAGCAAAACTATGCAAAATTAATCGACCGAAAAATATCAGGCCTTTCTCCGTGATCTTGAGCGACATTTTAATAAAAAACCATTCTGATCCCTACGGTCTTTCTTTTTTCTGTCAGGTATAGAACGAAGACATAGCATAAACATTGAAACAGGTTTTTCTTCCTAAAAGTGTTACCCGGGATCTTGTACATGAATGGTGTTTTTTTATGATCTAATGTTTTTCCTCTACGTTTTAAAATTATCGAAGACAAGATCTCCAGTGGGAAGACTCACTCATACCATGCATACACATCAATACAAGTTTTACCGCTGTTGTTTTCCTCTGAGTGGTCCATCCAATCCTGTCCGTACCATATCTGCATCTCTTGGTAGCTCGAGACAGACAACGGATTGACGAGGTTGCGAAAAACCAGCTCATTTGAATTATGGTGATATCCAGGAAGACTGTACAAGTATTCTCTGTTATCAGAATAAGCTTTCAAGTCTTCGGCGGGGGGCAGAATGGCCTTCTTATTTGCATCTGTGATGATTGTCATCAAATTTTCTTCATACGCTGGGTAAGTGCAGCCCCAGTAGGATGAATTAGTTTCATAGTTGCAGCGCACCGACCCTGACCTGTAAATAAGCTTCATTGTCTTCACTCGTCCACTCTTTGTCATGTTGAAGGAACCATACTGATTATCTTTGGCTTCAAAGCAGACGGGTTCTTCACAATTTATCTTTTGCCAGCTCCCTAAGATATAGCAATAGGATAGGTAGATAGTTTTGAAAGTTAATTAAACTTTATTAATAAAAAAAATAGCTAGTCAGTCGATGCATTTCGAATGGTAACTAACAGCCATTTGCAGGAAAATTCCAATGATAAAAAAGTTAAAACATTGTCCTTCTCGGCGTCGTGATCTGAATAGTTGTTTCAATCTATTCCCATACGCCACTAAAACAATTTTGTAAAAAAAGAAAAAGAACAATTCACGTCATTGACTAATCTTCTTCTCCGAGTTTACAGTTCTATTGGAATCACTGAAAACAAACCCCTCTTGTACTATAATTTCCCTTTTTACACTGCGACGAGATGTTATTTTGGTAGGTTTAAAAAAACAAGTCGGGTTAGGAGAACACGTCAAGGGGGGTGATGAATGAATAATTTAGTTACACAATTTACCTTTACAATAAGCTTCGATGACCTTGCTATTCTGTTTAGAGTAAATCCAGTATTTCCCGTCAGCCATCTGGTTCCCTTCACTCGCTTCAATCTCACTACAGGTTTCCGCTGGAAGTTCTTTGGTAGATCCGAGGGGAACTACGTCAGAAAAACGGAATTTCATGTAAGAAGTTTACACCATCTTGCAGTTCGATACCCCCTGATGCGACAGGAGAGGAAAAAAACCTCCTACCTTTCCTGCTTGCGTAAAAGCAGAAAGAAATAAAAACTGTGCTAATTCTATCAGATCTAGACTAAGAAATGAGATGGAATACAGCAACAATAACGCAGCGAAAAAAGCCAACATTTCGGTATCATCATTACACCATTTTCAAGGTGACTAAGGAAAAGAGTTGCTTAACTTCATAATTAAGTCAAGTATTATTATAACATTGCTAGTAAATTTGTCTAATCAAATTCAATTGCGCGAGCATGCTTCATATTCCTATTATGCACGCTCATGACGTCAGCAAACAAATCCCTCAAGAAAAAAATTTTTCCATCGGATTGAAAACGTTATAAAGCAATTAGTTCATACGTCAGTTGTGCGATCATCGAGATATGCAGCACGCGGTAAGTTTGGAGAGCACGAAAGATGTGTAAGAGTTGCTCGAGGCGTAGCCGAGAGCGACTCTTACGCATCTTTCGTGCTCTCCAAACTTACCGCGTGCTGCATATCTCGATGAACACACGCTGACGTATGAACCAATTGTTAATCCTCCCACGATGACGTTGATGAGACGATGATTCCAAAACGTCCTTTCTTTAATTTTGACTTGTCTCTGTATTTTGAAATACTTTACCAATATTGAAACAATCCCCGAAATTGAATCATCAAAAGGCTCGGCATAGGAACACATCTGAGTCTATAAATTTTGTTTCTCTGCGTTTTCTTAAATCGTGAATAAAAAATTTAAAGAACAAGTTTGCCCAGAAATGCAAATGCAAAAAGTTAAGAGAGGGAACGTAAAGAGTACCTCTGCTTCTAAAACGCTTCACGTAAAATCTTCTCTGATCCGGCATAAAATCTTCCGGTCTTGCTTCCTTTGTACGATTGTTCAGTTCACAGATGTTTTGCCCAATGACGACATTGAAACTCTGACACGTGACTTCTTCCTCACACCGGAAATAACACTCTCTAGGCAACTGATCGCGATACGTTTTAAACACGTGACCTTTCAGGTACATTCCGAAAATGGAGCTTT